TCAATCAGACGTATATCGTAGGAGGAAGCCTTAATAGATGAACGAGGGGTAGGTGATGGTTGTGATTTCATGTTTGTGTGATACATGTTTGTAATTGCTTCATTGTATTGTGTGCATGTATGCGAATGTTGCATTATTGATCACACCCTATGTAAATGAGTATGAACGAATAACTATATGCCATGAATCACCTCTGGATTGTATGATTATGATAATATACATTGTGATTATGATTGTGATTGTGATTGTGGTATGTTGAATGGATCAGGTGTTACGTTCCAACACACTAACTTGGGATCGGATGTCACGTACGGCACACTAACTTGGATCGGGTACCACGTACCGATACACTAACAGTTTGGGTTTGTATTCCATGAGAGGACCAATGACTTGGCATATTTACTGTGTATTCTTGAGAGTGTGGAATTGACATGTTTTCCTGAATGATGTGAGTGTTGTACATTATGTTCTTATATGTGGGGGTTGCGAGGTGCAAGTTGATTGAAGATATATGTTGTGTGAGCAATTGTGAATGGTAGAGTCCCAAATCGGGTTGTGATATGATAAGGGGGAACTAAGGGTACCGGTGCTATCGTTGTTATTTAGAATATGGTTGTTTTACTCGAAAAGATATATAAAAGAAAAATGACTAAGTTTTCAAAAAAAATCGATCAAACTTATGATTTAAGAGAAATCGAATTTCCAAAAGATTAGAGTCATCACTTAATTTTTTTAGTAAATATCAAGAAAAATTTACTTAAGGTTTTCAAAAGATTTAAACAGATAAAATCAATTGAAAACAAAAGGGTTCGAGTTCAAATGTACATTCCGAGAAGGTGTTAGGCCCTCAGAATGTCCGCTAACTTGTGGTTGACCGGCGATTTGACTAAAATGACTTGACTAATTTTGAGAAAGACATTAGCTAAGTAAGCAAACTTATAATTTTATTTATTATTATTATTATTATTATTATTATTATTATCATGTTAATTATCTTAAGGGGAAATGAACTAAAGGGAAATAGTTCAAGTTGCAAGACCAATAATAATATTATTATCATTATTTAATGTAGCTAAGATTTTTTATTCTTTCAAAATTAGATTTTGTCTAATTCTTTTGCACGTGACAAAATTTATTTAATAAAGCATGACTCAATTCCTATTTAGTGTAATTTTAACTTTAACACTATCATTTTATTTATAAAAAGAAAATTATGTAGAAAACACATATTATTATTTAGTTATATTTATTACCAAATGTAACTAGTAAGATATTTTGTTTTCCAGAAAAATGTAATTTCAATTCAATTTTAATGTCTCAGTATAAAAAAAAAAATTCCAGATTTCAAAGAAATTTTAACTTTAGTCCCTATCAATATGGAATGAGTATTATTAATAATTTATATAAAAACATACATAATCTTCTCGCGATGCATGAATCTTCTCTTGCTATGCATGATTTTTCCCGCAATGCATAAATCTCTTCTCGCGATGCATGAATCTTGTCTTGCAATGCATGAATCCTTTCTTGCAATGCATGAATATCTTTCCCACTATGCATGAATTTCTTCTCGCAATGCATGAATCTTCTCTTGCTATGCATGATTTCTTTCCCGCGATGCATGAATCTCTTCTTGCGATGCATGAATCTTCTTTTGCTATGCATGATTTTCTTCTCTTACAATGCATGAATTCTCTCTTGCAATGTATGACTTCTTTCTCTTGCTTTGCATGATCTTCTTTTTCGATGATGTCATCCCCGATACCGAACGAAGATACTGTTTCACCGAGCAGCGCAAGTGATCTTCTGGGTAGTTTCTGTGTGGCAGTATCGTCTCAGTTGACAATTCAATAAAAACGACCATCGGAGTAGTGGTGTCATCTCATTTGATAATACGATATGATTGACTCTCCGGGTAGTGGTATCGTCTCAATCAACAATATAAAAAATGACCCTCGGAGTAATGGTATCGTCTCATTCGACAATACAATATAAATGACTCTTCGGGTAGTAATATTATAATGCCTAATAATATGATGCAGATAATATCCTCCAAGTATCTTTAGTTGATGGAAAACAGTAAAATTCCTTTCTTCGGGGTTTTCATTTGTTTCATCTCTGAACATAGTTGCACGTTCATTTGGACTTCGCCTTGTTGGGAATTGAATGAAATGATGTTATTTATATTCCCAAATCTTTGATATAAGCAGCACGAAATATTTTCTGCATCCATAAAAAATTGTCAATTTTGGGGAGCTCTTCGCCCTTTTGACTTCTCCATATTAATTGAATGGAGGAATATGCTAATTTTGAGGTAAATCTATGGACCTGCATCCACCAAAAAATTGTTAGTTTAAAATGAACTGATCTGTGTCGATCTCTTCAGTTGTCTGCTCCTTGTCTTGCTATCTCCGGTTGATTTCACCGATCTCCCGCTTCTTGATAGATAAGACAAAACATTTTTATGCAAAATAATTTAAACATGAGGGAAAAGTTTAAAAAAAAATAGATTTTCAAAAATAATGTTTGGAAAAGGTCGCTGCCAAGTGTCATGTCACATCAAGCCTAATGAACGCCTATGAAGTTGATGTCTTGAGGTTTATCTGATTACTTGTTAGGAAGTATTCAAAGTCGCTCTAAAACTGCAGATAAACCTTATTGAAATTTTTGAGGTCATCCTCGAAAATTTCTGCCCCAGTTAACGGCCTTGGCGTATCTTTAACTGTTGATGAACAAACTATGGAATTTTTTAGATCTTCTCATAAATTATGTCCAGTTGCAATTCTCAACATAACTCTAGTCTTGACTTGTTGGAGAGGTCTTCTTCTCGAGAATTTTTGAGTTCCTCTCAAAAATTTTGTCCTAGTTTCTATCGTGAAGAAATAAATAGAAATTTTACGGGAGATATGACCGAGCCATTGTGGCGCCTACGTATCCCGTTGACTAGGGGTGTTCACGGTTTGGTTTGGGTCGGTTATTGGTTAAAACCAAAACCAAACCAACTTAATCGGTTTTAAAATTATCAAAACCAAACCAAACCAAATATAATATACATTTATCGGTTTGGTTGGTTTTGGTTTTGGTTTGGTTTGATTCGGTTATTCGGTTATTAACCATACATAAAAATAAAAGAAATAATTTATTCAAAACGTGAAAAAAGTGACAACAATCCATTCAAAACATGAAAAAAGTGACAACAATCCATTCAAACAAAAAAATAGTTAGAATGACTGGCATTACAAAACTTTCGATTATTGAATTTACTGAATAAAACTTCAAAATTCACTATTTTCGCATAGAAGGAAGAGACAATGACATTTTCAATCCCACAAAGAATTTCCATAGACACTCATATACATGAAACCAATAAGAAAAATCTCACCTTGGACATTTTTTCTTTCATAAGTAAATTATAAATAAATTTGATGAAACATATATAAAATCTTTAAAATTGTTTATGAATATAATATATTATGTATGTATAATAATAAAATTTATGTATATAACTGGTTGGTTCGGTTCGGTTATTTCTTCAATTTTTTCCGAACAAAACCATAACCAAACCAAATACTATCGGTTCTTAACAATCTAAAACCAAACCAAACCAAAGCCCAAATTAAATCGGTTCATTTAATTGGTTTGGTTTGGTTTTTCGGTTTGGATCGATTTTTATCCAAACCATGAACATCCCTACCGTTGACGCAGGAATCAGGTCAAACATAGTTCCCTCTCAAAGATTAACAAAAATAAGGAATTCAACAAAGAAACCGATCGAGGCCGACATAGGCTGCCTACGTATCTCATTCTTGAGAATTCAGGTCGAACGTAGTTCAAATACAAGGAAAAGTATTAAAAGGGGATAAAGGGGTGACCAAGGCCGCCTACGTATCTCATTTTTGAGAATTCAGGTCAGACGTAGTTCACTACAAGAGGGATAAAATTTAAAATGACGTGATTACAAGAAAATGAAATTATTACAAGGAAATAACAGAATTACAAATTGAAGCTTCACACATAATATCTCTTGACAACATCTGAGTTGATTGGTTTCGGCCATTCGGTGCCATCCATCTCCGATAGGACCAAGGCACCTCCAGATAATACTTTGCGAACCATGTAGGGTCATTGCCAATTTGGTGCAAATTTCCCTTTATATTCATCCTGGTGAGGGAAAATACGTTTGAGAACCAACTGACCAATTTCAAATATTCTAGCTCTTACTTTCTTGTGGGAAGCACGAATCATTCTCTGTCGATACAGTTGACCATGACAAACAACAACCATTCTCTTCTCATCAATCAATGTTAACTGATCAATCCGCTTGCGAACCCAATCAACATCACTCAATTCAACTTCTTGGATTATTCTCAATGAAGGTATCTCGACTTCGGCATGTATACCTGCTTATGTTCCATATACTAACAAATATGGAGTAGCTCCAACTGATGTTCTGACAGTCATTCTGTAACCCAACAAAGGATACGGCAACATCTCATGCCAACCTTTGCGATTATCAATCATTTTCCTCAAAATTTTCTTTATGTTCTTGTGGCAGCTTCTATAGCTCCATTCAATTGGGGACAATAAGCAATTGAGTTCCGGTGGGTAATCTTGAACTGTTCGCATATCTCTCTCATCAAATGACTGTTGAGATTCACTCAATTATCACTAATGATAGATTCTGGTACTCCAAACATACATATCAAATTGTTGCGAACAAAATCAGCTACAACTTTCTTAGTTACCGATTTGTATGGCACTGCTTCCACCCACTTGGTGAAATAGTCAATGGCAACCAAAATGAATCTATGTCCTTTAGAGGCGGCTGACTCTATTGGACCAATTACATCCATGCCCCAAGCTACAAATGGCCAAGGTAAACTCATAACATTGAGTTCGTGAGGCGGCACTCGAATCAAATCACCATGCACTTGACACTTGTGACACTTCTGCACAAACTTACAACAATCATGCTCCATAGTCATCCAAAAGTAGCCGGCTCAAAGGATCTTCCTCGCCAAAGTGAGCCCATTCATGTAAGTACCACAAACTCCGACATGTATCTGTTCAAGAAGTTTCATAGCTTTACTAGCATCAACACATCTTAGAAGACCTAAATCGGGAGTCCTCCTATAAAGGATTTCCCCACTTATGAAGAAATTGAGGGCCATATGGCGTATCGACTTCTTCTGGTTGAGCGTTGCATTTTCAGGATAAGTCTCGATCTCTAAATACCTTTTGATGTCAAAATACCAAGGCAAATCATCTAGCTCCGCTTCAACATCTGAACAATGGACGAACTTCTCTTTTACCTCTATATCCAAAGGATCAATATAAATTATATATGTATGTTTAATCATTGATACGATAGTGGTAAGAGCATTGGCCAACTCATTCTGTGTCCTGGGAGTGTGCCTGAATTCAATCTTGTGAAATCTCTTGCACAACTTCTGTATATACATACGGTGTGATCTTTGGGTTCTTCACGGCCTATTCTCCTTGAACTTGATGAATCAACAAATCTGAATCTCCAATAACCAGAAGCTCACGAACATCCATGTCGATGGCCATCTTCAACCCAAAGATACAAGCTTTGTATTCTGCCATGTTGTTTGTGCAATTAAATTGGAGTTTAGCTGCCATAGGGTAGTGTTGACCGGATTCTGACACTAAGAACGCTCTGATACCTTTCCCTTGGTGATTTGTCGCTCCATAAAAAAAACACTCTCCAACCAGGATATGTTTCAGAAATATCATCACCCACAAATGTAACTTCTTCATCGGCAAAATAAGTTTTGAGCGGTTCATACTCTTCAACAACCGGGTTCTCTGCAAGATGATCAGCCAAGGCTTGTGCTTTTATCGCCTTCTGAGTCACATACACAATATCAAATTCACTCAAAAACATTTGCCATTTAGCCAGCTTCCCGGTTGGCATCGCCTTCTAGAAAATGTATTTCAACGGGTCCATCCTAGAAATAAGGTATGTGGTATAAGAAGACAAATAATGTCTCAACTTCTGAGCAATCCATGTCAAAGCACAACATGTTCTCTCCAAAAGAGTGTAACAGGCCTCATATGGAGTGAATTTCTTGCTCAAGTAATAAATGGCTCGCTCCTTCTTTCCAATTTCGTCATGTTGACCAAGCACGCATCCAAATGCGTTATCCGAGACAGACAGATACAGCAACAGTGGATTCCCTTCCCGTGGAGGAACCAATACTGGTGGATTGGACAAATAGTTTTTGAAGGCATCAAAAACAGTTTGACATTCTCCGGTCCATTTGGTTAGGGCATCTTTTTTCAACAACTTGAATATGGGCTTACACACCACAGTAGATTGAGCTATCAACCTTCCTAGAAAACTCATCACCTCCTTCTTGGTCTTTGGAGGAGGTAACTCTTGAATTGCTTTGATTTTGGAAGGGTCAAGCTCAATGCCCCTCCTGCTGACTATCAATCCTAATAACTTGCCGGTTGGCATTCCAAAAGCACATTTGGCAAGATTTAACTTCAAATTGTATCGACGCAAGCGATCAAAGAATTTTCTCAAGTGAGTCAAGTGATCCGAACTCTCGCAGGATTTGATTATGACATCATCGACATACACATCGATCTCTTTATGAATCATATCATGGAAAATGGTTGTCATAGCCTTCATATAAGTAGCACCAGTATTTTTTAGACCAAAAGGCATCAACCAATAATGATATACACCCCAAGGCGTAATGAAAGCTGTCTTTTCTTCATCCTCTTCATCCATCAGGATCTGGTGGTAACCCGCATAACAGTCCACAAATGACTGCATCTCATGCTTAGCACAGTTATAACTGAGAATGTGAATGTTTGGCAATGGAAAGTTATCTTTCGGGCTTACTTTGTTGAGATCTTTGTAGTCAATGCAAATTCTGATCTTTCCGTCTTTCTTGGCAAGCGAAACAACATTAGCTAACCAAGTCGGATATTGCGTCACTTCCACTACTTGAGACTCGATCTGTTTGGTAATTTCCTCTTTGATCTTTAAATTCAACTCAGGCTCGAACTTTCGAGTCTTTTGTTTTACTGGACTGAAACTTCTTTGACACACTTCTCATCTCCAAGATTCACAGTCTCAGTTTCTTTTAGATTCGACTTGTGTTGATTCTCAAATTGTCGAAACTCTTCGGCAACATGTTCGGGTACCTCATTTTCATCTTCATGCACCTTGCATTCATCATCACCTGCCTCATTTCGTTCATTCGGCTCATGACATGACATTGGCAGGTTTTAAATTATTATTACTGAAAGCATAAATAAACAGAGTTACAAAAGTAAATATAAACAAATAAGTAAACAAATTTTTGATAAAAGAGGCTTTCATTTAAATTGAAAACCAAACACAAACTTTGGCCATGGCCGAGGGCCATTTTGCCTTTTTAAACATCACAAGGGAATTTAAAAACTTCAAACAGATAAAAACTACATAAAGGGTGGGTCTTGACCCTCTTTCGAACTACCACCAATTTTAAAAACAAACAAAGACACATGTCTTTTCTACCAAGCTGCATTGGAAATCAGGAGCGGTGTGGAGGTTCAATTTTTTGCAATTGTTCCTCAGGTTCTGCATCACGAATGACTGATGTCCCAGCCTCTTTCTCGATGACCGCATCAACTTCTTCGAAAAGGCCCCAGATTCCTTCCCCGAGACCATCAGCATTGACATATCCTCGCACTGGGAATGACTGGTAGAAATGAGGAATTTTCCTGACCAATGCTTGATCAACATTTTTATTCTTCATCTATGTTCATCATCTGTTGGGACATATCTCAAACCAAACTTTACTCCTTTGGCGGGAATTTGGATAGGCTGGACAATTCATTGAAAATGCTTTCCCAACCCGAAACCTAGTTCGAAACCATTCTGGAGCATGATAGTAGCAATCATCTTGTACACGGTAGGCATAAGAGGCTATGGATCCAAGTCATCACCGGTGGCATTTACCATCTCCACCATGTATAAATCACAACCTCAAGAGACATCATCAACGATCGGTGCATACCCATTGGAATGGCTCCCTTCACCATAAATGACCAATTCCTAGTCCTTCTAAACAAACTTCATAAGTTGGTGAAGGGTAGACGACACAGCCCCAAACATGTGGATAAACAGTCTTCCTAGAAGCACATTGTAACTGGTGTTGATATCCAACACTTGGAACTCCATGTTAAATTATGCAGGACCCACCTGAATATCCAAGTTTACCGCACCAATGTGTCTCTTTGCACTCCATCAAAAGCCCTCACATTGACTTGGTTCTGGTGAAGCTTTCCCAAGTCAAATTTTAGCTGCCTCAGAGTCGAAAGTGGGAAAATATTAAGATCAGATCCGTCATTGACCAATACGCGATTTATTATCTTGTCTCGACACATAGTGGTGACGTGTAGAGCTTTGTTGTGCATCCTACCTTCAAAGGGCGGCTCTTCGTCACAAAAGCTAATTCGGTGTCCTCGGATGGCCTAGTTTATCATGGCTGCTAGATTTTCACTGTTGGTATCCACGGGCACATAAGTATCATCCAGAGCCTTCATCAACGCTTGCCTATGCAGTTGTGAACTCATCAACAAAGCCCATACAAAAATCTAAGCTGGTGTCTTCTCCAAATGCTTCACAATTGAATAATCTTTTGACTGCATTTTTCTCCAGAACTCCTCGACCACGGCTTCACTGATCGGCCTTTTTGTTTGGTCCTTCTTCTGCCCTCCTTGAGCCAACTCTTTCAGTGTGTAGCACCTTCCGGATCTGGTCATACCCTGGGTAACAGCCGTTTCAATCACAAACTTTGGTCGGATAAGAGTTTCTCGTGGAACTAAGGCAACAACCTTCTCAAGTGTCAGAATCACAAACTTTTTCTTCTCTCTAATGCTCAACGAGGCTACAACCATTTCCAGTTCATCAGGAACAATCAGAACTATTGCCTTTGTCACGTACCAATCATCATCCGTCACTATCAATATGATAGTGACGCCTCCATGATTTGGCAAAAGATTATTATTGACATTGGGTGCGACTGTCTGAAGAGAGACCACATTCTGGTCAATCAGGTCTTAGATTTTATGCATCAGGTTGATACAGTCCTTTGTATCATGTCCAATATTGTTGGAGTGATATGCGCACCTCTGGTCAGGTCTGTAAAACTTTGAGCTAGTGTCAACCGACTTGGGCCCCACTGGATAAATATATCATGTCGCAGCTAATCGCTCGAACAGCTTTGTTCGACTTTCAATGAGTGGAGTGAAATTTCTAGCAGGCTTCTTCTCAAATCTAGGATGAGGGGGATCGTAATTTCCTTGTTGAGGAGGAGGCATTTGGCGATAATTTGGAGCGTTTGGACGGGGGGTTTGATATCTTGGGTATGAATTGGTCTGGTAATTTGGTTGTAGAGCTTGGTATTTCGAGGGGGTATTTTGGTAAAGAGACGCTGGGGTTTGGTACATTGGGGGAGGTATTTGGTAATTTATCTGAACATTGGCACAGTTAGGGGTGACGTTCCAGTAGTGATGAGGTGGAGTTTGGTAAACTGGAAGGGGAGTTTGGTAGATAGGAAGGAGAGTATTTTGATAACTGGAAGGAGGGGTACTTTGGTAACTAGGGAGAAGGGTATTTGGGTAATCATCATGTGCATAACAATCCAGGTACGAACTCTGTGAAGGTCGAGGACGACCTTGGTATGATGAGGATTTCCTTGGGGTCTTCTTCCCCTCATAAGAGATAGAAGACACATATTTTCTTTTCTTCTTCAACAAACCCGAGGATCTAGGCGAGGCAGCAACATGGACAATCTTCCCGGTTCTCAATCCATCTTCGATAGTTTCACCTACTTTGACTATCTCAGCAAGCTTTACTCCAACGACCAACATAATTCTATTATAATATTCGAGCTCTTGAACCCGCACAAACACTTCGACAATTTACTTCTCAAACATAGGAGGACGAACTCTAGCTGCCTCCTTTCTCCATCTGTTTGCAAATTCTCTGTATCTCTCATTTGATTTCTGCTTCATTTTTTTCAAGGAATAACGATTAGGAACGATCTCTACATTGTAGGCGAATCGTTCAATGAAGTCTTTGGCCAGACATTCCAGCTAGGCTACTGTCTTGTTTCATGCGATGTAAACCATTCCAGAGCCTCTCCACTCGGACTTCGGCTAAAAAGCCGCATCAGTAAAGCTTCATCTCTCCCAACTCCCACGAGCTGGTCACAGTAGGCCCTCAAGTGCGCTAAGGGGTTCCCTATTCCTCCGAAAACATCAAACTTTGGCACCTTGAACCCTTTCGGGAGGTCCAAATTCGGATGAATGCATAGATCATCATAACTTGAACCGGCGACTTCAGGAATACACTGCAACTTTTTCATGGCTTTCAGATATCTTCCTTCATATCAAGCTTGGCGGCCACTTCCTTTGACCTCCACTCTCTCTCTCG